TATAACATTCTGTGAGTTTAGCCATTGGTTGATGCAAACAAAATTTCTTAAGTTATTTTTAAAGTTAGCTTAAGTTATTTTTAAAGTTATCATTCAATTAATGAAAATTTACTAAACAACGCTATAACCTTTGCTGAAAAATACTTAAATATAAAACAAGATGAAAAAAGTTTAATACATCACGCCAGAAAACCGTTATTATTCAACAATTTTAACATATAAAGGTGATAACTTATTAAATAAACGAAATGAGTAGATTTCAAAATGCAGACACAAAAATAAATTCCTTTTGTCTTTTTTGACACCGGAGATTAGCTGATATTTTGTTTTTTCTTTGGTTGCCATCAAGAGTGTTTTAGCAATGTTAAGATCCCACTACACAGTATTTTATAATTTTTAGCGGTTTTTTTGTTTTTGATTTTGTATTCAATGGCTGATGATTGCCGTATAGGCATGAAACTTAAAGTACCATAGAAAAAGTTGTTTTTTCTTCGTTAATATATATATATATATATATATATATATATATATATATATATATATATATATATATATATATATATATATATATATATATATATATATATATATATATATATATATATATATATATATATATATATATATATATATATATATATATATATATATATATGTATATATATATATATATATATATATATATATATATATATATATATATATATATATATATATATATATATATATATATATATATATATATATATATGTATATATATATATATATATATATATATATATATATATATATATATATATATATATATATATATATATATATATATATATATATATATATATATATATATATATATATATGTATATTGCTCTATTTGAAATATCTTTTTAATATTGAGCACTCTTTTTCGACTATGAGTTTTGTATATTATTATAAGACAAAACAACCTTAAATATAAATATTTATCTATATATATATATATATATATATATATATATATATATATATGTATATATATATATATATATATATATATATATATATATATATATATATATATATATATATATATATATATATATATATATATATATATATATATATATACTTATATATAAATATCAAATATATATAACATGGGTTATACGATAGGGAGCCATAGTCACATTGTAGCTGTATAACTGTAGCTGTAGTAGTTAGCAACAATATGTTGCTATCAGTATATTGTAACAAGATTATTCGCTATAAAGCTACAGTATGTATCCATCAACTACCTCAGTAACATTAATATCTACAAAAATGAGATATTAGAAATAATCTAGATAGCGATAGCGGTGTTCTAATAAAAAATAATCATACATGTTAAATTATATCATAAATGTATTTGATCCAACAGTATAAAACAAAATGAAACAACAGTGTGAGAGAAAAAAAAGGCAAAAAAACTGCTAAAAGCTATTCGCTAGCTAGTTGCTAGCTTAGTTTCAAGCAAATAAGTTGCAATCCAAATGTGTAAAAATTATAAAAAAAAGCTTTAATCAAACATAACTAAGTATTACCTTTTACAAATTTACAAATAAATCCATTATAATCATAACAATCATTATCATTCCAGCCAATTCTATTTGTTTCCACACAGTTCTCTCCAAATCTAGCATTGCTAGGTTTTTTTGGTAACCAATTAAAAAAATCCAAGTATTTGCTGTCTGACCACTTAAATTCTCTGTTATTCCAATCATCATTGAGTCCTTTCATAAATACATTTAACAATATAAATTGGTAACTTCTATAACCTTATTTTATTTTCAAATTTATAGCAAAATAAAATCATAAAAGAATCAATAACAGTTAAAACTAAAACGACAAAACATAATAACAATAACTATCTTACCAATCCAATAATTATCTTTTTTTAGGCTGTTATCTTTAAGAATATTTTTAATAAAAGAATTTTCAGCTTGATCCTCAATACTTAACAAATGAGCACCCATAACTTGACATGATAATGATGCATCACTCCAACTTTTACCTTTTAATGTTTTATTTTGGAAAAAATAGCAATATCTTCCATACTCAAACCAACCATCTTCACAACTATTGCAAACTACCAAAATATGTTAATATAATTTTTTTGAATTTAATGCATTATTGAAATCTGAAAAATTTTTTAATTTATTATATAAAATAATTATCTTTTTGAAATCTTTAAATATTTTAACACTTAAATATTTAACACTTTTTATAGCACTTAAGTTTTTTGTCAAAGAATTTGTGGAAGTCAGAGAATTTGTGAAAACCGTAGATAAAATAAAGTATATATATATATATATATATATATATATATATATATATATATATATATATATATATATATATATATATATATATATATATATATGTATATATATATATATATATGTATATATATATATATATATATATAAATATGTATATATATGTATATATATATATATATATATATATATATATATATCAGCGCTTGAAATAACGGCCGATTAACGATCAATGATTGGCTATATCTTGGGAAATTTCGAAAAATTCAAGGAAAAATAACCTGTTTTTGTGAAAAAATTACATTTGATCGGCAAGCTTTGAAAAACTTTTTCGACCACTGATATATATATATATATATATATATATATATATATATATATATATATATATATATATATATATATATATATATAAATATATATATATATATATATATATATATATATATATATATATATTTATATATATATATATATATACATATATATATATATATATATATATATATATATTTATATATATATATATATACATATATATATATATATATATATATATATATATATATATATATATATATATATATATATATACATACATATATATATATATATATACATACATATATATATATATACATACATATATATATATATATATATATATATATATATATATATATATATATATATATATATATATATATATATATATATATATATATATATATACATATACATACATATATATATACATATATATATGTATATATATATATATATATATATATATATATATATATATATATATATATATATATATATATATATATACACATATATATATATATATATATATATATATATATATTAAAAGGATTTTTACACAAATTTTGTTTAGCTATAATTAAGTGTATAATAATAACAACAAAGCAACATCGTAATATATTATTATATATGAAAATATAAATTAGAAATAAAATAGTAAGTGGTTAAGAAAATAAAGTAATTTAAAATAACAAATAAGTCATTTGTTATTTTGAGTTACTTTAATTTTTTAACCGCTTACTATTTTATTTCTAATTTATATTTTTATATATGTTTCTATATTTTGATTATGTAAACTATCTTTTTATGGAGCTCCGCAATATGGTAAAAAGTGATATGGTAAAAAGTGATTTTTTACTAATTTATTAAGTAAAAATTTTTAAATGCTTACAATTTATGAGGTTAGAATTATCTGCACATTTTTGAGTTTTGAAATAAAACAATTTCAAAAACAAAAACGTAGGGAGACTGCATATAAATATAATAGAAAAATATTATTATGAGGTAAATGATACAATCAATAACTCAATTTTTTCAAAGAATAAAGTTAGAACAAAATAATTTTATTTCACAATTTGCTGAAATGTTCAAGATATATATGAAAAGTGAACCCTTCAATTAAAACTAAATAAAAATAATATGACAAATTAAAATTTTAAAACTATCCCTAATAACTAGATGAACTTCTAACATCATCACTTTATTGTTATAAACAAACCTTTTTTATTTGATCAAACTAACATTAAAAGAAACAAGTCTAATACATATAAAAAAAATTTATTGTTTATCTATTTTTGTATATTAGTTATCTTTTTTTCCTCTCTAATGACTTATGAATTTCTTCTGTTATGACTTACTTTAGAAAGATTTCCTACATAGAATAATTCAAGAAAATTTTTTGAATGTTGATCATTTTCTAAAAGCTAAAACAAAGTTTTGTTAATCTTCATAGCATTTACTAAAAGCTATATAAAAATAAAACCATATTATTCAAAATGCTTTTTTAAGTACTTTTTTAATACTATTTTATGCTGAATAACTTTTTTTGTAATTTTTTTTTTCAAGTTTATATTTTATTTCATTCTAAAGAAAAATATTTTTGAATTCTCATATAAATATTTATATTTTATCTCTTTGGAATTATTATTTTTTATGAATATATTATTCCTTAGTATTGTAAATTGTTATCCAAAAGAAAATATTTTAAGTAGAATAATTTTAAGCCGCTTATTTATCGGATTAAAGAGGGAGAAATATTAAATAGGGTTTACACAGAAGAAATTGAAAAATGTAATGTATTGAATGGGTAAATTGTTGCCATGTCTTTAGATGGCTGGAGTAATATACATAATGAACCTATAGTTTGTATTTCTGTAATTGCAGATAAAATTAACATTTTAGAAGAAACAATCAACACTTCTGGTCATTCACATCTTGGTGAATATCTTACACAATTAGCAAGAGAAGCAATAGATTTTATAAGACGTAAATTTGGATGCACAGTAAAAAGCTTTGTGACTGACAATGCAGCTAATGTGAAATCAATGAGACAAATATTGTTATCTGATAAAGATATTGTCATAACTTATGAGTGTGCTCCTCATATGCTGAATTTTTTAGCAAATAAACTTAACATCGAAAATGTGAGCAAACATTTTACACTAATAAAATATATACGAAATAATCATCAAGCTGGAGCACTTTATAAATTAAGCGGAGGAAAAAAATTGCCACTTCCTACTAATACTCACTGGAATTCTGTATGTGATTCACTTGAAAAATATGTCAACAAATGGACCATTATTTGTACAATGTTTGAAAAAAATAAAGACTTGGATCCCGTGATTGGTAAAAAAGTAAGTGATATACAGATAAAGCGAAACACAGAAGATTTATTGAAAATATTGAAACCAATTGCAGTAGCTCTAGATAAGTTGCAAAGAGATTAAACAAAAATAAGTGACTTTTGAAATTATTAAAGATTTGATGAACATTTTATCAATTTAATTTTAAAAAAAATTGAATCTAGATACCTTCAGACTGTCAGTGATGCTCATTTCATGGCAAACACACTAGATCCTAGAATCTAGGCTAATATCTAGGCTAGATATTTTGGGTTTAATATTTCTGAAAATAAAAACGAAGCTGCCATGAATTTCCCAGGTAAAGAATTCAAGAATTTGTTACCAATATTATTCAAATTAAAAGCTTAATCTACTATAACATAATGGATATTGAAGGTTTATTAAATGCACCAGCTTCTAGTGCTGGAATCAAAAGAATTTTTTCAACTTGTGGTTTTGCTCATTCTAAGTTAAGAAACCGATTGACAGTAGAAAAAGCAGCAAAGCTTGTATTTATATATATAAATACATATATATATATATATATATATATATATATATATATATATATATAATATATATACTTATAATATATATATATAATATATATATAATATATATATATATATAATATATATAATATAAATATAATATATATATATATAATATATATAATATATATATACATACATATATATATAAATATCAAAATTATTTAATACATCATGTTCTACATATATATGTAGAACATGATGTATTAAATAATTTTGATGAAATATAACAATAATATTGATAAAGAATATAGTTTACTCAAATGAAATACGTTATGCTTTTCTTAATTTAAAAGGATAACTAAATACCGCATTTTTTAGTAAAAACCTAATTTGAACCAAAAAACCATGGCTTTTTTTTGTTTTTTTTAAAAAAAACCTATGGTTTTTGTTTTGTTTTTTTTAAAAAAAACCGGTTTTTTTGCAACCCCGATTTTAATAAAGACTTTATTTCAGTGCGATTGTCGGTATGGATGAATAAGATTTATCAATTTTGTAAATAAGTTACTATTTCGGACTAAATTGGGATAACTTTGCACAATATGCAAAATAACCATAACCAATGATATATATTAACTAGATGTCTAACTTCCGAAAAAAAGTGAAGCACATTTTTTTTGCCAACCAGCATATGATTGGTTAACAAATATTACGGAAAGACAAAGAGCAAAAATAAAATCCAAACAAAAAATATTTGTGTCAGTTAAATCAGAAAATGGGTTTAAAAGTTAGTCAGGTTGGAATGATATTGTGAGATGCTTTAGAATTGGATAATTTTATAAGTGTAGGTTAAAAGTAACGTCAGTTACTTTTAACTTTCTATTATAAAAAATAACTGCTAAGCTAGTAATTTTAGTTTAAAGTAAAAAGACTTTGAACCTTCGGAAAATATTTTAAGTATATAATTTTTAAAAGTTAACATCTTACATAAGTTTTTATATAATTAATTAAGTTAAAATATCTGTTATAGTATGTAAACTTATCCTATATATTTCTTTATAATAAAATACAATATTTCTAAGGGTTATATATACCCTTGTTATTCAAGTAATATTACTTGAATAACGAGGGTATATATAACCCTTAGAAATATTGTATTTTATTATAAAGAAATATATAGGATAAGTTTGCATACTATTTTAACTTAATTAATTTTAAGTATATATATTTTAAATATGTACATTTTTAAACTGAGACATTTATTTAGACTCGCTCCAGATTATATCATATATAATATAATGTATATATATATATAATATATATATATATATATATATATATATATATATATATATATATATATATATATATATATATATATATATATGCAGATATATATATATATATATATATATATATATATATATATATATATATATATATATATATATATATATATATATATGTATATGTATATGTATATATATATATATATATTTATATATATATATATATATACATATATATATATATATATATATATATATATATATATATATATATATATATATATATATATATATATATATATATATATATATATATATATATATATTCAAATGATATTATATATGATAAAGTCTGGGATAATGTGTTTGAGTGTGTGTGTGTGTATGTATTTATAAAACATAAAAGATATATTTTTGAAAACAATACTTTTTATTTTTTTAGAGTAACAAATAATAAACATGGTTATTAATTGTTCAGTTTACAACTGTAAAAGCAGATTTGATAAAAGTAGTTTAACTTCTTTTCACAGATTCCCTTTAAATGATGAAATTTTATGTAAAAAATGGGCAACAGCAACTAAATGTTTACAAATTACACCTAGTAAACATAGTAGAATCTGCAGTAAACATTTTAAATTAGAAGATTTTGAGTGTCAAGAGAATGGGAAACGTGTGCTGAAAAAAAATATTGTGCCTTCAATATTTGACTTTCATGAATTATTGAACAAAATAAAAAGCGGAATCAGCTATATAATGATGATACATCACACATTAAAAAAACAATTTGTTCTATCTCGAATAAAGAGGTAACAGAGCTTGAAATTACAAATACTATTAAGGAAAAAATACTTAAACAAAATTCTCCAAAAAAACTATTACTTAGAAAAAAGATTAAAATATTAAAACAAAAGCTTAAACGAAAAGATAAAAAAATTGCTTCACTTAGCAAAGTTATTTAAAACTTGGAGAGAAAAAAAATTATTTCCATTGATGTTGCTGAATTACTTGAGAACAACTTCTCTGGACTGACTAAAGAACTTTTGAAATCTGAATTAAAAATAGAGGCAAAAAAAAAAAAGGTTATAGATACTCTGAAGAAGTTAAAAAATTTGCTTTAACACTGCACTTTTATTCTCCAAGAGCACATGAATTTGTTAAATCTACATTCTCAATTTGTTAAATCTACATTCTACAGCCACAAGTGTTAGAGATTTATCCCTTAACTTTTTATCTAGACATGAGAATCCTTTTGAATTTATTTTAACATATAAACTGTCACAAGATCTTGTTGAATTATTATTTGCTTGTATTTGAGGCAAAAATGGTTTCAATAACAATCCAGATACACGTCAGTTAAAATCTGATTTAAAAAGAATTTTATTAAGAAACTCTATCATAGGATCAAAATTTAGCAACTGCCTTACTTTTGACCAAAAATCTTCTGGCTCAATCTTTTTATTAAAGTGGAGTAAAAGGATATCTCCTCTTGTTGAGCAAAATATATCTAGTGAGGATTCTAACTATTTTAAAGATCTTGCTGGTTGTCTTTCATCAGTCTCTACTTCAATTTATATATATATATATGTATATACTTATGTACAGTCTCTACTTCAATTTATATATATATATATATATATATATATATATGTATATATATATATATATATATATATATATATATATATATATATATATATATATATATATATATATATATATATATATAATATATATATATATATTCAAATGATATTATATATGATAAAGTCTGGGATAATGTGTTTGAGTGTGTGTGTGTGTATGTATTTATAAAACATAAAAGATATATTTTTGAAAACAATACTTTTTATTTTTTTAGAGTAACAAATAATAAACATGGTTATTAATTGTTCAGTTTACAACTGTAAAAGCAGATTTGATAAAAGTAGTTTAACTTCTTTTCACAGATTCCCTTTAAATGATGAAATTTTATGTAAAAAATGGGCAACAGCAACTAAATGTTTACAAATTACACCTAGTAAACATAGTAGAATCTGCAGTAAACATTTTAAATTAGAAGATTTTGAGTGTCAAGAGAATGGGAAACGTGTGCTGAAAAAAAATATTGTGCCTTCAATATTTGACTTTCATGAATTATTATATCATATAATTTATTAAATAAAGCAATTTTTATAATTGAATGCTTTATACTTTATAACAAAACTCCATATGCAACTGATTAAACTTTAACATAAAAATAAACTAAACTGTAGAATCAAATAGACAATTTTCTGGCATTCTTTGTCTTTTATTTTAAAATACCGCAAGTGATTTAATGTTCTGCAAATGATCTAAAGTACTCGAATTATACAATTTATAAATGCTTCCAAATAATGTGTTCAAAGTATATTTTTTACTACATAATTTTTTTCTTGAGATATTTTCCTTTTGATTTATTTTCGAAAAACTTAGCCATTAAAATTTATAAAATATTTATTATGTTTTGCAATTAAATTTAACGTTTACGGTGATACTAATGTTAAAAACTGTAATTAGAACAACCAATCCAAATGCAGTATATTTAAAAAGGCAAATATAATAATTTGTAATTCACAAGTCCGGGCCAACTTTTTTTGGCCCGGACTTGTGCTTTTCAGTTAAGTCTTTAGCGTATAAATAATGTCAATATTTGCTCTAATAAATTTGAGCTGATTTCTTTATCTACTTTTGGATCAATGTCATAACATAACCTTCGAAAACATGATTTTATTACACTGCTCACCATCATAAAATTTAGTAAATCCGAGGTAATAATTATTGTAGAAAATTGGGCAGTTTTTTCTTGAAATTTTTTTTCTACACTTTAAAAAAATTTGTTGCATTGTTTTATTTGTTTTCCACAATCCCCCTCTATCACTTGCATCAATAAGCATCTGAGTATCGTCAGAATCTCTTTTACATGCAAGTAAAATTGCTATACATGGTTTGTTAAACTAACTGCAGAAGTTTTTGCTGAAACAATATTTACTAAAAAGTTTATGGACATTATACCTACTAAGGTATTGCAAACATTTTACTTCTCTTTCAGAAAGCAAGTTAACTTGTAAACAGTATTAGAATGTTCAGAAGATACAATTTTTTCAGATAGAATAACAAGATGATTTGGCAAATCATCTTGTGTAAGCACATATCTTTTGCTACAATAGCCACACACTCATTCAAAATACATTTTAACTTCAAAGGATGTAATTTTTTTAAAAAACACTCGTTCATAAAATCATCTGAACTACACTCAGATTTGTCATTGCAATTATTCAATAAGTATTGTCTTTCAAGTCCTTTGATGGTTTTATAAACTTTTTTACAAAGATTACATTGAAAATTTAATGCTTCATTTCGAATTTCAAAAACGGAAGCATCTAACTTTTATTAAAATCAATATCTTTGTTTAAAAAACCATCTTCAAACAGTATATACACGTCATTTAAACTTGAATATAATAAAGTTTCTCCATCGTTTTGTGTCATATTATTTGTATTTATGCAGAATGAGTGCATAACGCAGGCCGCATAAACCAATTTTAACTTAAAAATCAAATTTCTAGTGTTGAAAATTTCCGCAAAATTTCCGGAAACTTTCAACCATAATATTTTGCGGAACAAGTATCAGAAGAAATAAGAAACAAACAAATTAAAAGTTTGTTTGTTCTGATACTTGTTCCGCAAATTATTAGAGTTGAAATTTTGCGGAAATTTTTAGGAATTTTTCAACACCACAAATTTCAAAGGCTGCGGTCTGCGTTTCCAGACTCTCTATTTCTTGCGACTATGATATAAAGTTCAAATACATGTTGCTAATAAATAGTTTGAAATTTGAATAAACTTTGACAGATATCATTATAAAATAGTCAAACAAATAAAATTAGTAAAAGTATAATATACAAATAACAGAAGAAAAGTTATAAATTTGTTGATAAAATAAGTTTCAATTAGATATAAATAAAACTTGTTTATATTATGTTATTGGTGGTGTCATACAATGATTATCACTTTTCTTTTACATTCATAAGAGAAAAGTGTTGATCATCGTATGACACGTTATACTTTTATTTACAATAGTTATTAAAAAAAAAATTCGATAAATAGTTTAATTCACTGGTTTTAAAAATAGTATTTGTGAATGAGGTATGATCGGGTGGTATCGGACACATGTTTAGAGGGTGGTTCCGGACAATTTAATTCGTTTACATATTAATAATAAACAACTTTTTTTATATAAGTATTAATACTTTTAATATAATACACAAACCTATAACAGTAATTCATTTAATTCCAATAAAAAAACATTAGACTTGAAAAAAATGTTTTTAAAGTGTTTATTTTCATTATAAAAAAGCTTATGTTTATATTTTTAAATGATGACATTTTCATACTCATTCCTTATATATCAGAGGCAATTTTTAAAGGCGATTTTTTTAAAAATGTGTCAAGAACAGTCTAATGCTAAATTATTATATATTACATTTGTGTCACACCGTTAAAAAAGAGGTAAAATCATGGTTAAACTATGTGTCTATGTGGCTACCCTCCAGTTTTGAAACATGCCTTTTTTCAAGCATTTTTTCTTTTATGTTTTGTATATTATTAAGATACACAACAAATAAATTTTTGTTTCTAATTCGATTAATGAATGTTTGAACTTTTAAAAAAAGTCTTTATACACTTTTTTTTTTCTTATCAAATGTGCACAATCAGCATTTTCCTTTACTGTCCGGGGCTACCCGACTCTCCCCTAAATAAAAACTTGGTTTAAAAAATTAAAAAAAATTAAAAAATAAATTAGGTTACATGTTACCAAAGTATTTAAAACAACAAACCTTTCAAAAAAGATATCATAGAAACAAGGTATAAGCCAAAACAATTCTCCATTCAGCATTTAAACTTCAAACTAATAAAAAACAATTTAGTATTTATTAGGTATTCCAATAAAAGAACTTTGAAATTTTTAAGCTATAAATTTTAACTTTTAAAAAAATGGTCTTGAAAGACGCTATAATTTCTAATTATTTTGTATTGTTCAAAATAATTAGTAATCTGATAGAGAAAAATCTCGTGTGTTGGGCGCACGTATTTGAGTAATTTTGATGCTTCTAACTACGCATTTAAGTTGTCGCGCTGCAAAATTACTTATAGCTTTTTGTTAGTAAATTGGTTAATTTTGATAACTCTTTAGTTAGAGACAAAAATAAATGCAACTTTTTGAAAAGGTTTTAAGTATAAAATATCCGCCATGTTTGTAATCTATAAAGAAAACTTTTGTAATCTATAAAGAAAACTATGCCATGTTTGTAATCTATAAAGAAAACTTTTGTTTACGTTAAAAAATGTTTACTTTTCAAAAACTGTTTACTAAAAAAACTTGGTTACTAAAAACTGTTTATTAAAAAAACTGTTTACTAAAAAAATTGTTTACTAAAAAAATTTGTTATTTATTTTTATTTATTTATTGTTATTAAAGTAAATCATGACAAGTACGCAGCACCCTAATCTAGTTCCTAAAAAAGAAATTAAAATTTTATTTTGTATTAAACACCAGAATTTTTTAGAAACTTTTTAGTTTTTTTAACTGTTTGTTTTTCTTATTTTTTTAATCTGTTTGTTTTTATTATCTCTTATTATGGGTTTTATATCATCCAATGTTTGATTGAACTTTTATAAAGAGGCTCTATGAAAATATTGTGACGATGTGATATTAATCTGATTTTTGCGCCCATATCTGTTTTTAAATTCTGCTTTTGAACTCTATTATTTATATTTTTATTTATATATTTTAACGTTTTATTGTAAATATAAAAAGTTTAAATTTTTTACATCTTAAACAAATAAAAGTCCTGATAGAAAATAAAATAAATAAAAAAAATATTGTTATTTTTTTTTTTGATTGGTCAAGGGTCTAAAGGTGCTTATGTTAAGTCAGAAAGGGATGATGATTTTGAAAGAAAATAAAAGAGTAGCAACCAAATGCAGATTATGTATGGCAAATCCCATTGGGGGCGCCAACGGAACAAGATAGACTCATAATATTTTTCTTACGGACTTTTTTTCTTTTGAAATTTCAAGATATTGCGACATTAAAACTGTTTTGTTTTATCTCACTTTATTTAAAAAAATGTGTCATTGATAATATTATGCACTTCAGAATAAGTTTTTTGTTGTGTATTAAAGTTACAGCTAAAAATGTTGCGGAGAAAGCGTAAGTAATAATAAAATTTTTATACGTCGTTTCCTAGAGTTTTTAATTTTTAAATCGTTTTGTCTCAAACCCAAAAATAAGGAGATAAAATAAGATAATTCTATCGTCGCGATAAAGAGAACTGTTTTAGGAATAGGTGCTTGCGCTCCCTACCTCTTTTTCGCCCGTGCTGCTTCATTGAAATGCTTATAATTTAAATCTAGATTTGAATGACATAATAAAGCAAATTCCAGAAATATGAAATTTTTATGCAAAGGTACAGACTCTTTTGACTTTAGCATAAACAGAATGTTTATATTTTCTTCTTTTACAGATAAAAAAGTTCTAAATCCAATTAGGGACTTTCACAGCGTGCGGTTTTAATGTATGACTTCTTTATATTTTTTGTGAAATAACTATTATTCATGCATTGGTTGTTATGGCCCATGTTTTACCAGTTTCCAAATGCACAATTAATATTTTTTGTTGAATGGATAGTACTTTGTGCCATTGTTTGACAATGTTGTACTTTAACCAGATTATCCTATTTATCGAAAAAGAATTCGCAAAATATTTATCAATAATGGACATTGTTTAATCTAAATGACTATAGACTGTGCACAATTTCAAAAAGTTCAACCCAATTTCAAACTAAAATTTTAATTTCAGCACTCTTGAGTTTCCTCCCTATAATAATACACAAACTGAATAAGTATTACGGTAAATGGAAGTTGTATTTTTTCAGCAATATTTACATATGTACACTATTTAATACCAGATAGTGAAAACTAGTGTGGTACATTAGGCTTTTGAATTTTTTCCAGTATATGCACAACAAGAATTTTGACTCAAATTACTTTGTTTAGCCATGAGTCTGAAATTTTTTAAATTTTATTTTAATCTATATATTTAATAGGATCAGTTATGTATATTTTCTCAATGGTAATATTTATTTCAGTAAATTTTCTTTGTATAAATTGCTAAATATCATTGAAAATAAGTTGAATGGATAGAAAAGTAATTTCTTTGCTTAAACACATTTCTTGTTATTATTTATATAACAATTTTAGTAAAATGATGTTTTTAGTAGATTTTGTTTTTAGTAGATTTTGTAGCTGTATACTTTTTTTTTCCATTATGCAAATAATTTTAATTCTCACAGTAAATTTTTTGTAATCTAAAGAAGTAAGTATTATAAAATTAGTTTTTTTTTTAAATAACAACGCATTTTTACAAAGAAAAAGCATCGAAAAGAAGGTATTTTTATAAAAGGATAGTAGAGATAGAGATGTAGATTTTACACGTGAAGACAAAATATTGTGATGCAATTCAAAAGTTTCTTTCCTTCATTTTTGACTTGATATTTTTTTTTTATAACAACTCTCTGGAATTTCTAATTTTTTAGGTTTATGACAATAACTGTTTTGTGTTCATATTTTTAAAAGCAAGGCGTACTGACATCCTAGCCAACATTGACAAACGGGTACCGTATGGTTTTTGTCTGGGCTTACGGGAACGGGATTTTGACGGATAAGTGTTTTGGTTGCCAGACCCATATGATCCATATAAAAAAATTTCATATGTATATGGTATATATGTATATGGTCCCATATGGTAATAAAATCAAGCATGTTTGCTCGTTTGGGTTTTATCTGGTTTTTATCAGGGCCAAAGAATCTGGGAATTTGATGAATTTCACATAAGGTTCCCAAAAAGTTTAAACTGATAATTAAAAAAATCATAACAAAACTTACTCGATGGTTGCCATTTATAATTCGTATTGTGCGTGAAATAAGATTAAAAATTTAACTTTTATGAATTATATTTTTTAGATACATTATATTTACATTGTAATTAGGTTAGAGAATTTTACTTTTTAAAGTATTGTGTAACTGGGAAAACTCTATTAACAAGACGTTGTTTTAAAATTTCTTTTATTTATTACCATTATAAAAGATTTTATATATATATATATATATATATATATATATATATATATATATATATATATATATATATATATATATATATATATATATATATATATATATATATATATATATATATATATATATATATATATATATATATATATATATATATATATTTTAATAAATTTACAAAGTTTAACATATTTGATATAAATATGTTTCAGAAACTATTAAACATGTAGTAAATATTCCATTAGACACTGTTTGCATTTTTAAAATGATCAAATTATATAGTTTTGTTTCAGCTAGTGATTGTAATAAATGGTTTGAGTTTAATCAAAATATTGGTTTAGTCAGAAACATTTAAAAAGAGGAAACAGGCGAATGGAATGTAATGGATAGGTTATATTTAGGGAATTAAAAGCTTTTAAATTGTTTTTACAGATCCACTCTTTTCCATTGATTTTTCTATATTTTATGCAAGCAAAATGACTTATGTTAACGAAGTTTACCCAACGTCAGATATAAATAAAGATATAATAAGATGTTTATATGCAAAAAAATGGCTTTATTGTTATGCATCAACCTCATTTTTTAATCACTTATGTTTTTTGATTATTATTTAAAGTTGTACACTTGCAATATTAACAATAATTTCATAATAAACATAATAATAACTTATACTTACAATACCTATACTTGTAAATACTTGTAATATAATGCTTTAGTTTATAATACTGATAAAATTTTTATTGATATGAACTTTTGCGTTCAAATTTTAGTTATAAAACTTTAGTTTCACTTGGTAACTTTAACATAAACAACAATAACTAAAAAAAGACAATAGCTGTTTTATATTATAACCATGTAAGTATTTATGATAATTTTTTTTTAATGATAAGAGTTATAGTAAGTTAAACACGATGAAATGTTAAGTTCCAGGTTATAGGTCTTATATGATATGTATCTCATGTATATCTTGTATTTTGCAGCATGTTCAAGAACATTTCTGCATGGTGCACTCTAACTGTTAACAATATTTGCATACTGATATTAAAAAAGTGACTTCAACAACCAGAGTGTATTTTTGATAAATATTACTAATAACAGATTAGTAAATATAACTATAATAATAATGGTAATAACTTTTTATTTTTGGAATTAGTAAGAGACTTATAACGACTATATTAACTTATTAACTATAAAGACTTATTAACTATAACGACTTTTTGTTTTTTGTTTTATTTTTACATAGATTTGTTTATAACTTCAGAAGTCATTTTTCAGTAATTTTTACGTTTTTGTAACGGTTTGTTTACGTTATTTTTTTTTTTTTTTACAAAAGACAGATAAAAAATGTTTCAACTGAGAAATCTTAATAAAAAAAAAAGGAGTAAAAAATTTTGCTTCATTATTAACTTCATACTAATATAAAATTTTACTCATTAGATTTTTATACTGTGAAGCTAATTACCCCTTGAATATTAGCAATTTTTACGCCTAGATGTAAATAACTTATATTCTTAGCTTAGATGTAAATAGCTTATATTGAACTTTTTTTTTTTTTTTCTGAGGTCCTAAGTCTAGAAGTTTTTATAAATCTTTTCTTACAAGTTTTTATATGTTTTTAATACAAGTTAAATAAAAAATACTTCTTAACATTAATTTATTTTTTAATATTATTAATTATTTTTTATCGGTTATTTTTGACTAAACTGTTTATTAGACTTTAAGTATTATAATTTATTTTAAAATTAATTACTTGAGTAATTAATTTTAAAATAAATTATAGTTTAAAAAAGTTAAACTGAAAAAAATATTTATCCTTTTAAGATTTAAAAAAATTAAAAAAAATACTTCTAAAATTGTACATTAATTACCTTAATAAGATATAAGGAATCTTTATGTAAAAAGTCATTAAGTTCAGTTGCCTTTACTACAATGGCTTTAGATTTGAAATTGAAGATCAGGTTCAAAGCTGAATTAAATTATACATATTGTACTTTATTATATTGTATATGGTCGCACTGCGTAAAGTATGACGTATTTAGTAGACGTCTTTATTATAGATATTTATTGTAAAAAAAACAAAAAAACAACAACTAATAAAAAAAACAGCAAGTTTATTAATCAATTTAAATGTAGTTGAGTATTAAAAAATTATTTGGCTTTTTTTTTTTAATTGCACTTTCATTTGTTCAAAAAAAGGACAATTTTAAAAAGTTTGAACAATTATTTAAGCTTTTTTGTTTGTATTTCTATATGCAAAGATACTTTTCTCTCTTTATTTGTTATATGTGTATATATCTCATATCTTTGTGTGTTTGTCTGTGTGTAATTTTTTTTGTACCATTTATTTTGTACCATTATTTTTGTGCATTATAAGTTAACTAGTATAATTTATTAAAATAGAGATAAATCAATAAATAATTATATAGATATTTAATTTTTATTGAAAATGCGATGATCCTTTCAAAAATAATTTTTCAAGCAACAATGTTTTTTCTAAACACCACAAATGTCAAAACTGGTCAAAGTTGTCGACTGGTCATAACGAAAGCTTATGTGTCAATAGACGGAAAAAATAAAAAAAAACTCACAAGCATTTGTTGAATTAATTCTAATTTAGACATCAAAATTGCTATCATATAAAGTTGTAGGATTTTGTTAATTTAAAAATGCATTCGTCAGGAAGTATTCATAAAATAGTGAGTTGAATAAGGACTGGAAAAATAGTAATGTTTTGCTTTTTATTACAATTTTTATTTTATAACTATTCCAATAAATTAGATATTATCATAAATCCAAAGTTTTATCTAAAGGCTTTGTCTGATTCTGTTTGTCTGAAATTCTTAATATTAGTATTGTCAACATATGTTTCACAAGCACAATCACTATTTAAAAGATTTAAAAGATTATATTTGAAATAAACAAAAAAAAATTCCGAAATTTGACAGTGAAAGCATTTCTAAGCATAAGTCATTAAATTTAGGGAAAGGTATAGCTTTAATCTGATTAAAAATGTCAAACAATTTAAAGATTTTTCATTTGTACGACATTTTTGATTAAAAAAAATTGAAGCTGTTTTTATTTGATGATTTCTCACCAAATAAAAAATGTCATACAACTTTAATTAGGTTAGCATAATGGTTGTTATTAACTGCCCTGCATAAAAGTTTCTTAATTTAAAAATTAAAAAGATTGCGAAATGTAAATTTCTTCTAACTTATAAAAAACCTAAAACAAGAACAAAGAGCCGGACAGTTTATAAAAAATAGTTCAAAAACCAATCAAGATTTTATTACTTTTAACAATTTAAGCAGCTGTTTAGCGCAGTTTTCTCTCTTTCTTTTTTCCCGCAAACGGTGATTCCGGCTCCCATTTTTTGGTTTTGAAATTTATAAACTGAACAAATAATATAAAGCTTTGAGTATGTCTCAAAGCATTGTGTATGTCTAATAATGAAACCCAAAACAAAGCAAAATTGTTAAATCATCAATAATAGAAATAATAGACAGATATCTTTTAAACCGGAGAAAAATGCGCAAAAACATTACCAAAAAAACAAAAAATAAGTTAATACTAATAAATACGTATAAAAATATTTAAGAAAATGACAATTGATTGCTGATAACTATCTTCATCTATAATAAAAAAAAAAAAAAAAACATATGCTACAAACAAATAAAATGTGTTTGAAGTCTGCTGGTAAAATAATAAATATACAAGATAAATAATTAATAAAAAAAAAATTAAAATTAAACTTTAAACATAAGTTTAAAACGTTCCACGTTGTAAACAAGTATTTTAAAGTTTAACAAAAAAATAAAAAAAAAGTTTAAAGAATGAATATTGGGTTAGCGTGATTGCTGTTAACTAACAGCCTTAAATAAAAGTTTCTTAATTCAAAAAATAAAAAGATGGCAAAATGTAAAATTGTTCAAATTATTGATATTAGTATAGGAACATATTTTATTTCCTTTTTTATTGAGGCGTAGTTTATTTCGAGTGATTCTCTCACTTTATGTTCATTTTATATTTAAAATACCATTACATTCTCGATCATGTTTAATTTTCCCATACGCAGTCCATTAACGTTTTAAATAGTATTTTTGATTTTCAATGCATCTTGTTAAAATATTCTTTTTTTGTTTTGCCATTAGTAGATGATTTGTTGTTGCATAAGATGCTTTTTGATGTAGTTGTTGTAATAAAAATTGTTCTGACGTATAAGGTTTAAATTTTTTTTCCAAGTTTTAGACCTTTTCTTGGGAGCCATGTAAGTTTAACTGAATATTTAATTGTTTCTGTTTTATTATCATTTATATTAGAAAGGTTGTTTCTTTTTCATTTCAAAAAAATAAAAAAGAATCAAAAAACTAAATAATCTTTCTTTAGAAGTGCGTTTTCAATCATATAATTACACCATCATTGTTTAATTATATAAATACACCATCATGGTTTAATTATATAAATACACCATCATTGAAAGTAAGATCACCAATACAATCGCAAAAAACAAAAAATATTACTATAAAATATCAAAGAAAGTTATTGATACACGCCCGAAACAAAAGAAAAATATAAACTTTTTAATATTAGGAACCTTACTAAAAAAATATTATTTATAATTTAGAGTAAATTTGGACACAAAGTTATTATAAAGTTTTTAAAATTACACGGAAGCCATAGAAACTCAACTCTACATTTAATTGTTTCTATTTTTTTATAACTTATATTAGAAAGGTAGCTTCTTTTTAGAATATGATATAACGTATCCATTTTCTGCAAACATTTTTACTAAAAACTGTTTTACATCACTAAGATACTTAGTGGAACAAAACTTAAAAGCATGAGATACAAAGCTTTTAAAAACACTCATAACTACTTTTGGATTAAAAATTGATACTTTTTTTATTTGTATATTAATTATAAACTACTTTCGTTAAATTTTGAAGTCATAGTATAAGTTATCATTGTTGGTTACAGTTATAAACAAGAATTTTATACCTTTTTTATCATTTTCTTTTACTGAAGTATATTTTATTGCTGGATCTTGTTTGTTTAATAATTCAAGAAATTTTTCGTAATTTTGTATTGAGTCGAGTCTAGCATGACTTGAGTCTAGCATGGCAACCTTAAATTAAATTATTGTTTTTGTTTAAAGTTGGTTGTATAAGTTTTGCAAGATACTCTTATGATACATATGTCAGTGTACCTTTGGTAGAAACGACTAGCCGCATTGCATAATTCTTTCCTGGTTTGTGAGTTTTTATGACTCAATATAAACGTGGAGGAACGCAGTGAGATGGTACAGTTGAAAATAGGTCTTGTTATGTAACATTTTATGTTATGTAATTTTTTTCGTAATTTGGTTAATAGTTTTTGAAATTTAGTCATAAGGGTTTAAATAGGGTCATATTTGATAGTTAAGCGTTATCTGGTAATAATAAAACGTTACAAAATAACATAACAGAAACCGTTTAAAAAGAAGACATTAAAAAGCGTCAAATATAAAAACCAATCAATTTTTATTATAATGATTATAAAAATAATGGTATTGTTAAAAAATAATTATATTAACAAAAATAAAGGTAATAGCAATAATAACAATAATAGTAATTCTTTGAGTTAAGATTTTACATACTTCCATATGAAGATATTAAAAGGAAAGCATGGTTAAAAGCAATAAATCATGCGCACGTTGACAAAAGTGGAGTAGTTAAACTACTCCATTTTTGTCAACGTGCGCATGATTTATTACTTTTAACCATACTTTCTTTAAAATATCTTCATATGAAAGTATGTAAAATCTTAACTCTGTGAATTATTATTAATTGAAACAAGAAAAGCACACAGTAACTTAAAGGCATTATTCATGCATATATGTTCCTGATTCAATAAAACTAGCTGGTATGACCCGAACGATACGGGTCGTGCCAAGTCTAATCCACACCCGACAATTTCTAAACTTGTTTCTTGGTCTTTATACTATAATTTATTTAATTAACGGCAAAAAATAAATCAATTTAAAGTTTTGGTAGATGGTAAAATACGATTTTTAATTACATAAACATTTAAAGTTCGCATTTTACAATCTACCAGAAAAAGACGTTTAAAACGTCTTGTAAACGTCTTTTTTAACTCTGGTGTCCACTGGATTTCTTTAAAAAAACTCAAATTATTTATATAATTATAAAAAAATTATATAATGGTTGAAATATATTAACAATAATACTTTTTTAATTGCGGATTTGTGGGTGACCTGTACCATACGGGTCGCGGCAACTCTATTCCACATCCGGCTATTTCCAAACTTGTTCTCAGTGAGGTCTCTACACCTTAAATCAACAGCAAAAAAATAGACGATTTAAAGTTTTTGGTTAACAATTGATTTAATATACTTTAGAGACTGTACTTATTTACTTAATGTACTCCAATATTTTATACATAAAAGAATCTTTAATATAATAGAGGCAGTTGCGTAACGATTCTTCAGGTGTTTTTGAAAACTTAAGCTATAATCAAGATTTTACCCTCTCATCAAGATTTATTTAAAAAACAAATTTGGACATTAGAAAATTGGCCTAAGAGACTTGTTATTTTAAATAAGTTAGCTTTATCCGTTTGATACTTTTTATAAAAACTTTGCTGTAAACAAAACTGTTAACTAATTCATTCAATTAAGCTGCTTTTACATCCGAAGTTATCAAACATTTTGTTTGTGCTAATCGATACTTAATGCAAATAGAAACTTCGAGTACAAAATACGATTTCAAGTATAAATGGATTCTATTCATATATATAAAAAGCAACAAAAATATAAAAAACAGTGAAAAAATTATCAATACATCATGAAACAATAAATCCAAAATAAAACAATATAGATATTTACTTAAGAAACAAAAAACATATTTTTCTTGAGGTAAAATAAAAATATAAACTTTAAAAAAATTACAAAAAAAATAATATTCAGCAAAAAATAACAAAAATACTTAAAAAAGCAATTTAAATTGAAACATTATTTCATTATTATTAGGCTTTAGGTAGGCCATAATCAAGTTAGCCATAAGAAAAGGAACTCGACCTAAAAATGGAACAAAATTATTTTAAATATAATGCACAATAATTACAAATTAACGTGTCACAGTGGGCCTGAGCATGATCAAAATTTTTTTTTTGTACCCAATTTTTTTACATAGTAGGTCTGAAAGGTGTCACTTTTCTGAACTCAAATCTGTTAAAATTAAAATGATTGAACGTGGGTTTTTGAAAAAAAATGTATTTCCCTTTTTGTAAATTTTTTCTTAAAAAAACAACAACAAAAAATAAACCGAATTTAAATACCTTATATATAAGTAAACATTCATTTCAAATACAAAGAAAGCTTACTATAATCAGAGAGACTGATAATAATAAGCTATATATGCAAGCATATTACATATGATGTCTATTTTATTTATAAAATTTTATATACTATATACAACTTATATATGTTTGTAAATTGGTACTATACATTGCAGTAAAACTATTGTTATGATATCTTAAAAAAAATTAACATACTTGTTACTAATACCGTTCTAAACATTATTTATCTACTCCAGCATTTATGCAAAGTTATGTAATCTAACAAACTAATGAAACTTTCATCCAGTCCTAGCTCATTATTTTTAAATTGTTTTGATATTTTTTAATAGAAAACAGAGAAAAAAATTATTTAAAAAAACGAAACCAAAAGTGCATAATGATTTCATACATCTAGTGAGCCTTCTATGTCTTTCTAAAGAAAGGAAAGGTAGTCGACAATTTAGGCTTATCAAATCAAGGGAGTATGGAGAAAGAGTACAGACTATAAAAATATCATAAAAAATTATTGCTGGAAAGAGCATAATTTTGGAAATAATAATCTGCCTACAAAATTATGTCCTTCATGCAGAAGAAAACTCATTGGACTAGAGAAAAATGATCCCAGATACAAATCTTTTGTTTTTCTACCAATATACGAAAGTAAGTAGTACATTTAAAAAGTTAAAAAATCTCAGATAACTATTACATTTTTAAACCTTGTAAAACACAGTTAGTAGTTACAAAGATTTATCTATAGGTTTGAACACAAGAGTTAAGAGAGGAGCCAGATGCGAATGTTTTATATTTAAAAAAGGTCGCAAAACTATTAACAATAAAGAAAATAAGACTCATTTAGAGCCAAGTGTCTCGCAAATTAATCAAGAAATAGAAATAAATTGGGAAAAATACCACCAGAAAGTCAGGCCAACCTGTATATACTGCTTCAAAGAAACAGGAAAAGGTCTGCGTCATCCCTGCAATAAAATACAGAGACAGAACAATTTTTTCAAAGTTATTACAGGCTGCTTCACCTAAAACTAAAGGTGTAATAGTTTCATATTTATAATAGTTTATAAAGTAAATTAGTTTAATGTTACACTAGTTTAATTTAAATAAAATAAAATTTTAATTTATTTTAATTGAAAACTAAAATATTGTCATATATATTGACATTCACAAAACATCACAACAATATAACAATATTATACATTATAACAATACATTACAACATTATAACAATAACACATAACATTAACACAAATTCACACCTATATAACTAATATTTACACCCTTGACTCTAAAATCCAGTGGAAAATAACAAACCAATTTTAAAAGAATATGAAAGGCAAAACTAAAAAACCAATTTTGAGTTATCTATATTTATCCTTTTACTAAACTTTAATATAGTATATTTGCTTTTATATTCAATATTAGTTATTCAATTATTTTTAAATTTAAGGATCAAGGTTGCATACTCTTATACACATTACACAAAACATTACCAGACATTATGTGTTTCCAGAATAATTCAAAAAAGCTAGACAACACAACCTAGCTCTAAAGCAGTAACACCGCCTGGCACAAAATGGTGCCAAGTCACACCTCTGCTATAAGTACACCGCTTGGCTGGCAAGGTTAACAATCTTGCTTAACATTTTGCCAAGCCACACCACTTTGAAAACATGGAAACAACATAATGTAAACATATATACAACTATAAACAAATATGACTTCATATAACACATATTAACACAATATATAACAATATTAAATGACAAATATATTTATCAAAAACTATGAAAAAAATAAAAATATTAAAGTTACACATACAAAATGTCCTCACAACCTACAAACAGTAAATTTTAGAAATGAAAATATTAAGACTATACATTAAGAACATTAGAAAATATAACATTATTTGTGTAGTATTTTTCACCTACCATACCTTGAATAAGATGTTTATCAATTTTGAAAAACAAACTATTAAATGCTCTAGTTCTTGAACGTGCAACGTATAGTTGACCATGGGAGAAACACGGTTTTTTTAGATATACCCCAACTCTATCAAATGTTTGACCTTGACTTTTATTGATTGTCATCGAATAAGCTAATCTGACAGGAAACTGACGACGTTTTAGAACAAAAGGTAAATTAGAATCTGATGGAGCCAACTGAATTCGAGGAACAAATACCCGTTTACCTTCAGAAACACCTGTCAAAACCTCTGCATCGATATAATTGCTTTGGAGAGCACAAACTTTCAATGGGGTCCATTATATAGCCCAGCTTTAAGATCTAAATTTCTAAGTAGCATAATTACGCAACCAATTTTCAATTTTAAACAATGAGTAGGCATACCTGAAGGAGTTAAGCTGTTCAAAAACTCAACAGGGAAATTATTTATTTCATTAAGATCGTCAGTGCCTATTTGATCAGCACTTAAATAAGTTTTGACCTCTCCATGTAGACGTTCAAGCACTTCTTCATTGATTGACAATGAATCCACATTAGTGGGTGTTAAATGACACGTTTAGCATAATCATCTTGTTGAGCATCTCCAAATATTTTTTCAACAATTGATTCGTTTTCTCTAATAATGCACTGTTGCGGTATTTCAATACATCCCTTAAAAGGATCTTCCTCCTTGCCAGGTATTGTTCCACTACCAAGTTTTAACAGCCATTCGGAAAAATCTCCTTCTCCATCACGTACTCTCATATTTTCAGTTAATGTAAACTTCTGCACTCATTGCCACTGTAAAGAACATTTTATCCATGATTCTACAACTTCAGCTGGTCTCCCTATTTTCACAACAGGCAAAATTTGCCTAAAGTCACCACCAAAAAGAATGACTTTTCCTCCAAATGGAAAGTTGTTGTTGCAAACATCTTTTAACAACCGATCGATAGCATTTAAAGCGTGTTTAGGAATCATGGATGTCTCGTCAAGCATAAACAAACTAACTTGCCTTAAAAATTGTCCCTGATTACAGTTAGGAGTCACATTACATGTGCTGTTATCCAGTATTGGGACAGGAAGTTTAAATAATCCGTGCAGCGTAAATCCATTTGTAAGAAGAGTTGCTGCTATGCCAGTTCATGCAGCTGTAGCAGATTTAACACCCCTACTGCTCATTTCAGCAATCAAATAATTATATGTAAAAGTTTTGCCACTACCGGCTGGTCCATCCATAAAAAACAATCTGGAATGTTGATTTTCTACACATGGTTGCTCGTTCAATGCAGCAAGGACAGCATTACTTACATTTAATTGATTGACATTAAGAAGCGGTCTCATTCTATTAGCTTCGTCAATTGATTGCTGAAAATTATCATTTAAATTTTCTTGATTAAAATCTATAAATTCATCAACAACAGGCAAATTATAATCAGATAGCGTTTTACCACTTTGATTAATAATCTTTTTGATTTGAAGAAGAGTAGTTTGTTCAGCTAATATAAATGGAACTTGGCGATGAATGAAATCCTCCATCATAAAAGCTTTGTATGAATTCCAAAGATGCAAAGGGTCACCAGGTTCACAAAAGGTTAAAATAATTGAAAACAGCTGCCTGATTTGCTTAGGCATTTGCGTTAAAACTGCCTCAGAAAGATTATTCTGCCATTTAGTGTCATCTTGCAACAAACCATTAAAAACACACGCTTCACGAAAGGTTTCAAGAACTATTCCATTAACAGTACGCAAATCCTCCCAAGATTTTGCTCCTTTTGCTTGTAAAAGTAACAATCTAAGAAAAAATAATTTTCCTGTTGGACTAACTTTATACATTCTTACTATCACCTTATTTCTACCTCTTTGTCTAACCTTCCATTTACAATGTTTATCATCAAATACAAAGTGATATGGAATGTCAACATATGAATAGCGATTGGCTCCTTCATTTTCAGAATTCAATTTAAACCAGGCCGTAAGGTGTGTATCACGTTGAGCAGCACGATCTAAAGCCACTTGTTCTTCTCCTTCTCTAAAATACACAATCTGATTCTCAGGAAGATAAACCTTAAGACGGATAATAGAGTGTGACATATGACTTATGGGATACTCAAATATTCGCCACAGTGCCTCAGGTGCACTAACATAACGACAATCTAAGAAAGTGTTTATTTCATCGTGTTTAACCTGTTCATTTATCAAAACATTCGCACAATCATGCCCTTTGTATATGTATTTATACAAACATTTAACAGCCTTTACAGACACGCAAGCTTTAACATTAATGTGGGCTTGATATTTCTTTGATAACCAAGGATTATAAGGTACCACCCAACGGTTATCTACATTGTTGCCTTTAATATTGATAACCAACCCATTATCACGACGCCTATAGCGCGGATAACCATTGTGAACAGCTACTGTGTTGGCATTAAAATCTTTAGGATAATTTTTGCTGCACACCCCATCTTTCATGCAGGAAGAATTTGAATTCAGTATCCCACATGGGCCGTGAATCATGCAAGTTTTGATAATATCATAAAGTTCACAATTAACTATCGGATCTGGATTTTCTGCACAAATCAAATTATCGATATCCTGTGATGTTTCAAGTTTATCATCATTTACTAAATGAAGTAAAATGTGGGCATGCGGCAAACCACGCTTTTGAAACTCAATAACCTGAACATGCGTTACAACTTTGCCTAATACACCATGTTTGAATATATCATTGAGGAGGTTATTTAACTTGAGTTTAAATACTCGAGTAACCAAATCAGGTCTATCATTCGCATTCTGACCCGGATATAAATTTTCTGTTATTTCACGCCATTATGGGTTGCAAGTAAAAGTTATAAACAGATCTGGTTTACCATACTTTTTAATAATTGCCATAGCATCTTCAAAGTTTTCTTTTAAAGCTCTAGGACTTCCTACATAAGATGATGGCAAAACTACTACTCGTCCTGGTCTAATATTACGATCATTGGCAATGTTGTTAATATGTTCATGTAAGGCATCGTACTGCTCGCTTCTCAGCTTATTTTGATTATTTCTGATAAAAGCAAGACGCTGGTCTTCAATTTTTACATATGCATCTACAGCATATTGCTGAAATAGTTTCTTGCCATAAAATAATGAACAGAAAAATTGCCTAACAGAAACTCTATAATTGTAGAACTGAGATAATGTAACATGATTTCTAACCAGTGTGGCACGCTCAGGGTTATGCACCAATTGATTATGCCAACCAGCATCACCTCTTGGAAAAAATAGCGGATAAACCATAGGATCCAAGTTGGCTGACATACTTGATACAATTTTTAAAGGATGACCTCTTGGGTAAATAACAACTTCCCTGGAAGTTGGGGGAGCACCATCTTCGCCAACAAATACAACTGGAACTTCATCATGTGAAGGTAGATTATAACGACGTCTATCACCGCCTTCAAGTAAAGACATTTTTACAACAGAAGCTGAGCAACCTTCTATAGCCGCCTTACGAATTTCTTCATCTTCTACTTCAGCCATGTTTTTAAATGCAAGAGCAAATGGACTTTGTTCCATAATTATAGTTTGCAATTAAAACATTAAATCACGTAAACAAAGATCATTAGCATAGTGTTGCATTCTAAAATTTAGTGCAGCAAGTGGATCATAAATATATAGTTAAGAATATATTGGTGGAATATCTTGATCTGGCCTAGGATTACCTACACGATGAAAAATCTGGCCACATATTTTAAAACATGGAAGCCCATGATTCATTGGTTGAACTACATTTGCTGTAAAAGAAGCAAAAGAAAGGCAGGCATTATAATTTCGAACATGTTTTAAAAAATTAGCATTAGCATTACAATCTACATAACTCCCTGTAAACAAATCCTGTAAAGCTTGTGTAATCAGTGAAAGTAGAGGCAAAGCTACCTTAAATTTATGGCAACATAGAAAATGTGTTTCATCTGGAAATTTCTTAGCACCACAGTGCTGACAAATTTGGTTCATTTTTCCTAAATAATTATAATCTTGAATAGCATTACTTCTCGCTATAGAATACATTCGTCCTTGTCGAATAGGTCTTCTTTCATTTTGGCGACGATTAACATTATCTCGATCGAGCCTATTTCTTTCATTTTGGCGACGATTAACATTATCTCGATCGAGCCTATTTCTTTCATTTTGGCGACGATTAACATTATCTCGATTGAGCCTATTTCTTTATTTTGTAAACAATTAATTTCATCTCACCTAAGCCTATTTCTTTCATTTCGTCTACGATTATTTTCAACACGCCTTGTAGCACTTACATCATCTTGTAAATACAAAATTTCATTTAGCCTATCATCCATTTCAATGTCATCATTTTCATTGAACATATTTATCAAAGCAACACTAATTATTTCTTTTTTTTTTACTAATCTAAAGTTAACAATAAAATAAAAAAACTTAATAACTAAAAAAATCATACTCGAAAAATTAAAAAAAAAAATTTTCAAAACAAATATATATAAAGAAACCAAACAAATGCAAAATAAAATTAATTTGCCATCATCAAAAGTAATACAGGTTTCTTAAGTTTATTTGATAGAAGTTAAAAAAAACCTGCAACCACATCAGCAAAAACTTATTAAAACTTATTTTATTTCCAATAAAAAAAAAAAAAAAAAATTGCGACAGCGTCATAGTTCATGCGTTGGGAGAAAACATTGAACAAAACACGTAATAAAACTTATTAATGCATTATTAATGCATTATTAATGCATTATGTACGATAGAAAACAGGTTATTAACGCGGGTTTATAGATTTTTTTCTCCTAACACACTATTATGTTGCCGCAACTCCAAGAATATATATAGTTATATATAGTTATATATATATATATATATATATATATATATATATATATATATATATATATATATATATATATATATATATATATATATATATATACATATATATATATATATATATATATATATATATATATATATATATATATATATATATATATATATACATATATATATATATATATATATATATATATATATATATATATATATATATATATATATATATATATATATATATATATATATATATATGTATATATAGAACTATTTATTAGTGAAAACATATGAAAACCAAAATTTTTTATATAATATATATAGTATATATTTGATAAATAAACCTCTACAATTTCTTTGGTTCAACAACTCGATAATGATTAATAACAACTCTGTAAACATGAATTTTCTAATAATTTAAATCTTAATAAATTATAACAATTAACTACTTATTTAAACAAATAATTACTTATTAAATTTTAAAAAGATTTTATATATACGTAATGTCTACTTAGAAATACTTAATGTCTATTTATACATTAAAAAGATCTACAATTTTGAAAACCTGAAACTTTAAATCTACCTAAAAAAAAACAGATATTTATTTCTTTTTAAAAATTTAAAAATGCTTTTTAACTTACTCCCTCCAATATTATTATATAATTTATAGTATATATTGATAAGTAAACCTCTACAATTTCCTTGGTTTAACAACTTTTTTAAACTAGGTTTAAAAAAATTTCTAATAAATACATATTTAGAAACCTTAAATTGAAGCATAACACAACACTCTTTTGATAAATTCCAGAAGAAATTTTCTTAATTTTTTTATTCCTTATTATTTTTACTTAGAGAATATATATATGTAGATATAGAGAAATATAAAATAGACTGAAATAAATCGAAAACCTTAATTTATGTATGAGAAAATAACTTGGACTTACTAAAAAAGCGATCAGCTCCTCTTAACTGCTCTAAAAAATAAAACAAATACTGCTAAAAATGTTTTAAAAAGATTAACGACAAAACTGTTTTCTTAAAAAAGAAACATTGTACTAAAAAAACTATTTTACCAGTCAATTTAGTTCTAACTTATTCTAAAAAATGAAAAGTAAATACATAATTAGACACCTTCAAATGAAGAATAACACAACACCCTTTTTGCAAATTCCAGAAGAAATTTTTTTTATTTTTCTGTTCTCAATTATTTTTGCTAAGAGAAAATATATATAGATATACATATATACATAGCAAACTAACGATTATTTAAATTTTTATTTTAAAAAATAAACAACATTAATTCTTCTTGAAAATAAATGTATCAGCTCCAATTTGATTGCTGATTTTACTCGAATGACCGCGTGGAATATATAACTGCGCTTAGAAAATTCTAGAGGCAAAGAAATATTGTATTTTACATAATGCAGAACCGTAATTAACAAAACGAACAATAGGCGTAACAATGCGTAACTATGCGCACTAATAATATTCATAGGCTATTCATTATACGCGGATTACTATAAAATGTGCTTGCAATAACTGTTTATCATCTCAAAATATTCAAAACTTATGTTTTAGCGTATATTGAGTTTCACTTTGATTCAATAATAGGTAGATTATGAACCTGAACATGCAAGCGAGAGTACAATAAAGAAAGTAAAAACTTTTCAAACCTTCTAAATATTATAAATTTATTCTTATCTTACTTATCTATCAAAAATTCAATTAATTAATCTTAAGGGAATTTTACTTTGTTCCCCTATTTGTTTTCTAAATAATGTGGTCCTTACAAAATTTGGATTAAACAAAACATAAATATTTTTTCTCTATTTGTTAATTTTTGTTACAAAATCTGTAAATGCGTACTCATATAGTATAAAAGCAATTTTTCATTGCAATTTATCAATAGTATAAATGCATTTTTTTGAAATTTTAGAGAAAAAAAAGAATTCACCGTTACTGTATTTTTTGTTTAATATTTAAGTCATCTCTGTCAAAACATATAATGACTGTGCATAAAAACCATCCAGAGGTTTTAATTTTAAATACAAAGATAGCTAGGTTGAACGGTTTAAAAGATTTTAAAAGGAGAGGAATTTTTCAATACAGCAAAACTGAAACTGCAAAAGAAAATCCAGTATATCAAAGGGAAAGATCTTCTTTGAAAAACAAAGGGTTAAATTATTGTAGCTTGTGTACAGCGTTTATTTCAAAGAAATTTTGGCACAATCATGAAAAAAATTGCCAAAGGAGCACAGATAGTTTTGAAAAAATAGTTCCAATACCAGTCAGTCTTCTTGGGATACCTAGTTTGACAATGGTAAACGAGGAGTTTACAAGCAACATTCTGTCTCATTTAAGAAATGATAGAATTTCTAATATTGCTCTACACGATAAAACAATTCTAAAAATTGGCTCTATGCTTTACGAAAGGGAAAAGTATAATAAGAACAAATTTGTTGTATCAAGAAAATGTCCAAAATTCAATGAGGCAATTGAGTTCTCTATATGATGTTTTTTGTCAGCAGGCAGATGTCGAAAAAATTAATAACAGTTCAGCAGACATGTTCGAATGTTCAAATAATAGAACCTTTCGAGCAGCCGTTCGGTCCTATACTACAAAAGATAAAGATGATTTAAAAGCTGGATTAAAACAAAGTTTGTGCTATTTAATAATCAACTGTGTAAAAATTCTTAAAGGAATATATAATGAAGAGCAAAACTCTGATGCTGCTAAGCAACTTAATTCTTTTTTCTCCCTATTTAAAATGTGGAAAAAAAGTATGTTTAAAGATGCCTCTAATAAACTAATACAAACAAAGCATAGCAAATTACAAAAACCTTCATCGCTTCCTTTGGAAGAAGACTGTAAAATATTTAAAAGTTATATCTTATCAAAAATGGAGTTTTTTACTGCTAATCCACTGTGGATGGAGTCGTTTATTGCAGAAAATTTTGTGGAATTAAGAGATCTTGCATGTGCTAGACTAACATTTTTAAATGCTAGGCGAGGTACTGAATATTATAAATTTATATTGTTATAATTATATTATGAAAAATTACCCAGCGTATTAAATAAAATATCATGATCTCTCCCAGAAAACACCTGGTCTAAAACAGACATTTTTAATACGTCTATTAAAGCCATAAGATGTTTGAATGTCTTCTTTAGACCAAATGTTTGCTGGGATAGCAATCTTGTTGTTTTAATTTAATAAGTTAGTACCATTTAATTTAATGTTTGATTTTTTTTACATACAAACCAATAACTTTATGTATTATTTGAATTGCTAAAATTAATTTTTATACTTTAAATTTATTTTTTAAGGCGACGAACCAGCAAGATTATTATTAAGTCAGTACAATGAAGCGGTTGGGGACGAATACATAGATATACATCGTCTCCATGAGTTTACTGAAAAAGATCAAGACTTAATAAAGTCGGTTAAAATAGCATACATGGCAGGTAAAGGAACTCATAGAGTTCTAGTTATTATTCTGGCGGACACTCTGAGGGCTTTATCGATAATTTCTAATATAAATATAAGAAGTCAACATTCCTAAAAACAATCCTTATCTTTTTGCGTGTATCAGAAATTCTAATGGTCATACTTCTGGATGGAATGCAATTGATAGTATAGTAAAACATTGCCCCTAAAAAAACCAGAGAATTTTAACGCTACAAAAAATAGACATCGATTAAGTTCTATTTTCGCAACACTTGATTTGTCAACACAAGATAGGGATCTATGGTTTAAACATATAGGTCACTCAGAGGAAACCAATAAAAGTACTTATCAAATACCGCTAGGTATGTTGGATATTGTGAAAGTTGGAAGAAGACTTATAAATATAGAATTAGGTATTTTTTTGGACTAATTTTCGGTTAAAAAACTAAGATTAACAAATTATCATTGTTGTTTTATAAACCATGAAAAAAAAAATATCATGTTGTGAAATATAATATTTTATTCATTTTATCTAGTATATTTTACAACGTATTTAACAGAATATTTTTTTGACTTATATAAAATAATCTTTGATCGAAAAACCTTTTATCGAAAAACTATGCGAAATGTAATGTATTTTTATCTAATGAAGGTACAAGTGCAAGTACATTTATTCCATCGGAGAGTCAAAATTAGTGTCAAAAATCTACAGATACAAGATATGGTAGTTACGAAGATGTTACATACTTTGTTTTAATAATTGAAGTATTTGCACTTTAACTTATTTCTATGATTTATTCATATAAAATTTAATTTTGATAAACTTATTTGAGAAAAATGTAAAACTATTTTTATCTAATAAAGGCGAAAGTTCTAGTTTATTTACCGATTCGGAGAGTTGTGCAAGTCAAAATGCAAGAAGATCTACTGATAAAAGATATGGTAACTAGCAGTTGTAATTTTTTTTTTCTTACAAATGATATATTTAGCTTTTAAATTGTTTCTATAATTTATAAAAACAAAATTTTTATTGATCAAATTGTATGAGAAATTCAAAACTATTTTTATCAAACAAAGGTGCAACTTCTAGTACATTTAATCCATCAGAGAGTTTTGCATATCCAAATGCAAGTCAAAAATCTGCAGATACAATATATGGTATTTATAAAGTTGTTACCTAACTTTTTTTTTAGCAAAAGAAATATTTGGATTTTAAGTTACATATATGATTTATACAAAAAACCTTTTATCAATAAACTTATATGCGAAAATGTAAAAGTATTTTTATCTAAAAAGGGTGCAAGTTCTAGTACATTTATTCCATCAGAGAGTTTTGCGAGTCAAAATGAACGTCAAAATTCAACAGATACAAGTTATGGTAAGTAATCTAATTGTATTTACATATTTTTAAACTTTTGAATATTATGGTTTAATTTAGTTCTATAGTTTAAACAAATAAAATCTCCATTGATAAACTAATATTAGAAAATGTTAAACTATTTTAATCTTATGAAGATGCAAGTTTAGATACATTTATTCCTTCGGAGTGTTGTGTTGTGTTTTAGTTTATACAAATAAAATTTCCATAGATAAAGTTTAATTAGAAAATGTTAAACTATTTTTATCTAATAAAGGTGCAATTTTCAATACATGTACTCCTTTGGATTGTTTTGAAAGTCAAAATGAAGGTCAAAATTTTACAGATATTAGATATGGTAGTGACGCATTTGTCATCTTTTTTTTAACAGTTTAAGTTTTATTATATTTCTATGATTTATACTAATAAAAACTTGGTTTATAAACTTATATGCGAAAATTTTAAACTCTTTTCATCTAAATAAGGTGCAAGTTTCAGTACATTTATTCCATCGGAGAGTTTTGCAAAGCAAAATAAAATTCAAAAATCTGCAGAGAAAAGATATGGTATTTATGAAGTTATAAATAAATTTTATTTTAACAAAACTGATGTTTGGGTTTTAGTTTTTTTATATGACTTATACAAAAAAAACCTTTTATCTATAAACTTATATGCGAAAATGTTGAACTCTTTTTATCAAATGAAGGTGCAAGTTCCAGCACATTTACTCCTTCGGAGTGTTTTGCAAGTCAAAATGAACGTCAAAAATCTACAGATATTAGATATGGTAGTTACGCTTTGGTTACCTTTTTTTTTTTAACAGACTAAATATTTGGATTTTAATATGTTTTATGATTTATACAAATAAAAGTTACATGCGAAAATGTAAAACTCTTTTCATCTAATGAAGGTGCAAGTTCCAGTAAATTTATTTCATCAGAGAGTTTGGCAAAGCAAAACAAAAGTCAAAAATCTTCACATATTGGACATGGTATTTATGCAGTTGCTAATAAATTTTATTTTATCAAAATTTATGTTTGGGTTTGATTTGTTTATTAGACTTATACAAAAAAAAAATATTTTTATCAATAAACTTATATACAGAAATGTAAAAGTATTTTTTATCTAATGAAGGTGCAAGTTCTAATATATTTATTCTATCGGAGAGTTTTGCAAGTCAAAATAAACGTCAAAAATCTACAGATACAAGATGTGGTAGTTATGCTAATATACTTACGTTTTTTTAAGAATTTGAATATTTTGGTTTAATTTATTTTTTTAATTTATACAAATAAAATTTCCATCGATACACTTTTATTAGAAAATGTTAAACTATTTTATATCTAATGAGGGTGTAAGTTCAAGAACATTTACTCCTTTGGAGTGTTTTGCAAGTCAAAATGAAGGTAAAAACTCTACAGATATTAGATATGGTAGTTTGGCATTCGTCACCTTATTTTTTTTAATAGATTAGCTATTTGTGTGTAATATATATTTTTTATTTATACAGATAAAATTTCTTAGATACAGTTAAATGTGAAAATGTTGAACTCTTTTTATTTAATCAAGCTGCAAATTCGAGTACATTTACTCCTTCGGAGTGTTTTGTAAGTCAAATTGATGCTTAACAATCACCAGATACTAGATATGGTAGTTAAGCATATGTTACTTTAATTTTTTTTTCAATTAAATATTTGCATTTTTTATTGTAGTTTTCTAAGCTTTAACATTGCATTAGGTGTCACGTGGGGGTGGGGAGTGGTGTACAGTTAAAAATTTAGCTGATTAAAAAAAAACTTGTTTATTAAAATTCATTTACTGGCTGTTCAAAAGGGCTCTAGAACAGTATGTAAAGTGAACTAATGAACAACTTTCTTTTTATTTTTTCTGCAAAATCGACCTTTTAGACAAGTCAGTCTATATTTACGGACTGACTGGTCTAAAAGGTCAATTTTGCCAACAAAATGAACAATTTTTAAAAAAACTGTAAAAGGTATCTAAAATGCTTAATAGGGCCCGTCAATTTTATCTCAACTTTGCCCCAATCGTGACCCTTAGCATTTTTATTTAGATTTAACATTGCTCTTTTCTATTTTTAAATAAATGAGTGAATTATCATGAACAAAAGAGTGTTTATTTCAGCCTTAGCCTATTTATTTTAACATTTAGCAAACTTGACTTTGGCCCTTTTATTAACTCTTTTGCTCCATTTGTGACTCTTTGAAATTTTTTTTGGATTGTAAAAGTATTTTTTCTATCGTTTCCAAAAAAACCTAAATAAAACAGGTTTTATTTAAGTGTCACGACATAAAAACGCGGCGGCATCTCAGTGTTCTTTGTGTCTCACAGCGTGCACATAGTTTCATAAAACGGTCCAATAAACATTAAAATTAAGCTAAATTCAAAAAATAATAAATTTAAAATGTTAATTAAACTTTTATGCTAGAATGTTTATAAATATTCTTTAAACATAATTAAATAATATATTTATAATACTACATATAATTATCTGTAATATCTTTCCTTAAAAACATATTTCTTTTAAAAATATATATAATCATATCAATAAACTTGATTTAATAAAGTTCTTTTTTTAAACATTTCTAAGACGTACAAACAAGAAGCAGAGTTACAAACAAGAAAGAAGGAAAAAAAACCCTGAAATTGTGCCAGGTATATTTTAGAATAATAACTTATGTAACAGGGTGAAACTATTAATTAACAGTAGATAGACAGGTTGTTATTAGTATTTAAAGTAATAGTTGTTAACAATAAATGCATAAAATGAAATTACTTTTGTTAAGTTTTTAATGTATTACATTGTTAAACAAAACATTTATGTGTAAATTTTTTAACTGACATATGTTATAGCTAATTTATTTTGACTGCAAAACAAATTTCAGAAAGAAAATATCATAAATGGGTTTTGAATGAGGAGACACAACTAATACATCACTTTCAAAGTTATATTAATGAAAACAAAATGCCTGGTAAATTTTTTTTAATTAAATAGTTTCAATGTTAATTTACACATATAAACTTTTATTAATTATAAATTTTGCAATTATTTTTGTTAGACAAAAAAGAAATTCTTCAGTTTCAGAAAATGATAGACGTTCAATATAAAACTGCAAGAACAAAATTAACGAACGAAAGAACTAAAATTCTGAACAATAAAAATCGTCGTTTGAAAGATTTAAACATGATTTAAACATGATAGAGTAGAGTTCAATTATTTGTAACATGACAAAAATAGATTCGTCAAACAGAACTTTTTTTAGAACATATTTCTGTATATTTCAATAATAAAACCTTTGATTTATATTTGATATATCTTTGATCTATAGTTATGATATGATCTATTATTTTCTTCATAGCAATAAGGTTATCAATTTTAGTAAGTTCTATATTTGTCTCTAATTAAAATAGCAATCTCTGGGTTTTCATAAACACTTAGCAATAAATCAAAAATATCTCTATAAATAAAAACTTGATAGTTTCAAGGCCTTCTCTCCTATCAGTTGTCACTCAAGTTTCAGAGTATTTCCTATCAAAAATAGAAATTGAAAAAATTATTATATTAACATTAAAATGAGATGGGTTCATAGAAGGAGAGGGGAAATAGACCAAGTTTACCCTTTTCTTATAAATTTTAAATTTTATTTTTGAAAATCTATAAGTATATTTATAATTATATCTTATAAAGTAAATCTATAAGTATATCTATAAATCTATAACACAGCACGGTATATTAGAGAGGCTCTTTTATTATGCTAATAGTTTTAATCAAAGTTTTATATTTATTCATCTTAAAAGTATAAATACTTCAGAACGCACCTATAAACCTAATACGTTATATTACAAATAGGTTTTTATCATTTATTATTATATAACTGTATACATAGATCATCCTAATCATATTTGTTTTTCTTTATTTTCTTTTTAATATACCTTTTAGCTAAGTTGTTTTTAAATTTTTTTGACACTTTTCATAACTTTTTGCGCCTTACAGCGCTTTCATAACATTCTTTATGAATGAGAAAGCTTAAAAATCAAATATATTACAAAAATATGTACCTCAACTTGCATGTATTGAAAATTTATTTATATATATTTTTGATTTTTTAAATATATTGCAATCAGGGGCGATTATACGGGGAAAGGGATTGTGTGGGGCGATTTTACGGGGTGTAAAAGCCCCCTCCTCCTATGATGGCGATTTCAAGTTTTAGTCGGTTTTTTTACGAATTCAGTCGGGTAGTCGGTTAAATTCTCGTTTTGAGGACCTTTTTTTTTTTCTTTTTTTTTTTTTTTGCAGCTAGTCGGCACATTTTTAGAATTCACCATCCTCCCCCCCCCCCTCATTTTATTTGTAAAATCGCCTCTGACTGCCCGACGGGCATTTTTTTTTAAAAGTTACAATCTAAATGTATTTTAAATGTCTTTTAAACGTCTTTTAAACATTAATGTTTAAAAGACGTTTAAAAGACATTTAAAACACATTTAGAACGTAACTTTAATAAACAAATGCCCGTCGGGTGCAATCATTTTTACAAACTAAGAATATGCAGCTTTGCTAGCCGTTTAAACGACGATATTCCATTTAAGTCTTTTAATTTTTGATTTTTCAAGTTTTTCCATATTTTGGGACCCTGTGAAGTAATTGAAAATTCAGAACCCCGGGTTTTAGTTTTTTTAATGTAATAGTTATGGAAACTATTTGATTGCAGATTATAACTTTGAGAAAATGATGGCGAAAATATGTCTAAAAAATAGTTTGGTAGCATATTATTTTTACATTTGAACAGAAAGATTAGAATCTGGTATAAAATAAGTTTTTTTAAGTTTAAGATTTTCATATTTGTTATTGCATTAGTAGGATTGTACATTCTGCCTAGATAATGAATTGCTTTACAACCATGGTTTCGTAAGCCTTGTAGTTTGATTAATTTTGTTTTGTGTGTATTAGCACACACAATATTAGCATATGTGAGATGACTGTTAATTAGAAAAAAATTAAAGTTTTTTTAGACGTTTTTCCAATATTTTCACTTTTCTAACTACTTTATTTAAGAAGTGCAACTACCTACAAAACTCTAACTTTTTTTTAAAATTAATGCACTTTAGTTAATCAGAAATAGCTCATCTGTTTTAAAATGTCAAACTTGATTCTTGAGCGCTTTTTAATAAGAACTTATTATTAATAAAACGTCAAAAATCATATTTTTGTAAAAAAGTGATATGTAGTTAGCAAGAATGAAAACTGCAAAGTGAAACGATTTTTCTAGATGTTGTAGGTAAAACTGTAGATCATATATAGATCGAACTATAGATTACTTGTGGTCTCTATTCCCTACACTTAGTTTTCACTGTTATTTTAAGTACTTAGATCCCGACGGGCATTTGTTTTTAAAAGTTACGTTCTGAATGTGTTTTAAATGTCTTTTAAACGTCTTTTAAACATTAATGTTTAAAAGACGTTTAAAAGACATTTAAAATACATTTAGATCGTAACTTTTAAAAAGAAATGCCCGTCGGGATTTCTCATTTTTGTCGGAAAATTTATTTCACTTACAATTTTGTTTTGATATTTTTCTGTGATTAACTTTTATTTTCCATGTAAAAATTTCGCTTGAGTTTATTGATCATAAAATGAAAAAGTTTTATTTATTTATAAACTTTTTAGAGTTTTTTGGTGTTATTAAAAGTAACACCAAAAAACACTAAAGTACTTGGCTTTTAAACAATACGTTAAATGTCCATCTATTAATACGTCCTTGACGTTTACTCGTCTTTCTACGTTTACTCGTCTGCTCTTGTTGCTTGCGTATTGCGTAATAAACTCTTCTGTTTCATTAGGTTGTTTTTAATTTTTGTTTTTTTGTTCGCTGTAAGTTTTTGCAGTTATAAGCTGGAAATATGTTCTTAAGTTTAAAGTTTACTATATTTATATGTTTATTTTTTTCTATACCTTTTACTTTTATTTACTTTTTTCTCAGAGTAAACGTTCATAATTTTAAATGGTATTCTAAAAAGTTAATTTTACAGGGTTATTCATTCTTATACGCGCGTCTATTCATTTTTATATGCGTATTTATTCATTCTTATATGCGCTTTTGTTCATTCTTATATGCGCGTTTATTCATTCTTATATGCGCATTTATTCATTTTTATATGCGTGTTTTCTCTTATATGCGTGTTTATTCATTCTTATATGCGCGTTTATATTCTACACCTTTTCAAGATGTAATTGAGAAAACAAAAATTGTAATTAAGAAAGGTAAGATGTAATTGAGAAAACGTAAGTTGTAATTAAGAAACATAAGATGTAATTTAGAAAGCGAAAATTGTAATTAAGAATCGTAACATGTAATTGAGAAAATGTAAGTTGTAATTAAGAAATAGAAAGATGTAATTGAGAACACGAAAATTTTAATTTAGATATCGCTTTAAAGGAGCAAGTGTAAAATGACGCTTAAAAAAAATGGCGCGTAAAAAAATAGAGCGTATAAAATGACGCACTTAAAAATGACGCAAGATTTGTAGCGTAAATTTAATTTTTTAGGGAAAAATTTATAATTTTTGGGCAAATGAACTTAACATAATAAACACTAAAAATATTTTAGGGAAAAATTTATAATTCAATTAAAAATTATAATTAAAAATTATATAATTAAAAATCACTTCATTGATCATTTAAGCACCAACTTGTACGTCTTCCATATTTAAAATAGTTGCATAGTGCGTGGTTGTGTGTTGTACCGCACGTGCACAATCTCCTCCCATTATAGTATTTTTCGCCTCAATTACAATTCGTTTTAAGTACTGCATGCGCTGTTCCGCAATCCCGTCATCTAATACAGGTGGAATGCGAATTGCATTTTTAACCTTACTTTTAATTTTGGACCAGATTGTTTCCACCGGGTTCAACATTGGACTGTAAGGTCCCAAACGTAACAACTGAGCTGGTGAATTATCAAACACCCTTTGCAAACGAGCGTGACAAGGAGCATTATCTGTTACGACGACCAAATCCTCCAAACGATTCCCGGATGTAACCCACTGGTGAAACATAGCCAACATCCACTCGTTACAGGAATCTGCTTTAAATGATCCCCTGCGAGTTTCTATCATGACGACATTTGTGGTTGAAATAGCTGCGATCAAGTGTATGTTTAAACCTTTTGAACCAGATACTTTCATAATTGCTTTTTTTCCTTGTCTCGCGCGTCCTTGCGTTTTTCTACAAAAAAGGTTAAAATTTGTTTTATCCAACCAAACTATCTGACGACCATTTGTGATATGTTCGTTAATGTTTCTAACATATTCAGCTCTTTTTTGTTTGTTTTCATAACTGTTCATTGTAGAAGGCTCCTTGTGCACTTTTTTTAATGAGAACAATCTGCCTTCGAGGTAATTTGCTATTGTTGTTGCGCTAACGTTTATGTTAAATTGTCTTAATATCTTTGTTTTGATGGCCACCAATGTTAATTGACAATCATTTTCAATCCATGTTAATGTTTCTTCGATTTGATCTTCGGTCAACTTTTTCGGTTTAAAACTTCCTTTTCCGATGAAATTTGAATTTCCGCTGCGAACCCAATTGTATGCTGTCTTATATTTGATACCTAGCGTTTGCGCGAGATTCACCCAATCTTCAAATTGCTCCGCACATTCAACAACTCTTCTCCTGTCATTTGGAGAAGATAAAACGTAACGTTTCCTTTCAACTTGTTCAGTTGTGTGTATTTCATGCCGACAAATCGGACAACTTGAATCTGGTTGTTCCAGAACTGGACGTAAGCAAATTTGGTGACATAAATGTTGACACGGATTTAGCTTAATCACAGACTTTCGGTTCATAGTGTATTGGCATATAACACAACGATCTTTCAATTCCATTATTATTACTTGTGCATACAAAAGCAAAATTTAAGATTATAACTTAAATTCATGTCCAAAAAGACCTTTTGTAACAACCTACAAACTTAGACTGTGAATTTGCTATTTTAATTTATGTGTTCTCAATTACAAGTTACGAATTCTCAATTACATATTATGATTTCTCAATTATATCTTACGTTTTCTCAATTACATGTTGTGTTTCTTAATTACATATTACGACTTCTTAATTACAACTTTCATGTTCTCATTTACATCTTGAAAAGGTGTAGTCAACCAACCATAAAATCTCTAATATATTTTTATATAAACAATAAATTGGCTTTTATGTTTTTATATAGATATATTTAAATTGTATATATTAGGTTGTTGCTACTGCAATTTGTTTAAAAAATGGTTGCCGAGAAGGGATGCAGAGTCCCAAAATGGACTCCAGACTTGAAAGTCATAAAAAGATTACTTCACCCTAGTTTTTGGTTATCCAGGAGCATTAAAAATGTATACAAGTTTATGGACTACTAATAGGAAAAAAATTAGAACTCTTAGGTTAGAGGAACAATCATTTTTTTGAACATGGAGTCCTTAGGTATAATGGCGGCAAGTTCCAAGTCATTAAATCTTATGAATTTTTTTTCTTATAACAGATCATAAGTCGAAAAACATGTTTAGAGCTTCTCGACACTACAGACTTGAAAAAAGTAGAGATATAAAGCCGGAGTCCTTTTGGGACTCCGCATCCTTGTTGCCGAGTCAGCGCTGAATTTATTTAATAATTACAATTAATAAAATTTAAATCTAGATAAATGAATATTGTCATTAATAATAATTTAATCAATCAATAAATTTAATCATAAAATTAAACAATGATCTAATTCTAAATTAAATAAACCATTATCGAATGTAAAAAGTCTTCGTATAAAGTATTTTTAACCTCGTTTACCAGTTCATTTTGAAATTATTCGTGTTATTGAAATAGTTTCTGAATCACAGTTTGATTGTAATGCTGTTTCTTTTCATGCCATTGCTAACTTTTTTACCATCCAATGTAACTCATCAGATTTTGGAATATACAAAGTTTCTAAGATCAATAAAATGAAAAGAAAATGTATAACTTTATCTGATATTTGCTACAAATTAGTTTGTCTGGAACAAGATGATGATTTTATTTTATTTGAAGTTAATCATAAAATATTATATTAATATTTTTTAGTTTAAGTTTTTTTTCTTATGCAACATTTATTATGTTGTTAATTTCCTATTATTTTATTTAAACTTGTTGTTTTTTTGTGAATTTTGTGTAAATTTTTATATTGTTAAGTTGAAGGTTTATATCTCCAAATGTGTGCAAAGTTTCCATAAGTTTATGGTTTCCATAAGTTTGTTGGCATTTAAATTACATTATTGATTAGCGAGCAATTGCGTGATTGATTAGCAAGATTTAAAACATTAACTGAACTCTTATATTAAACTCTAATATTATAATAATAGTTAAATGTTATTTTGAACAATCATGATAATCATAAGTAAGTATCATAAGAATATATAATTTTTAATAATTTATATAATATGCATGAGATCCTTTTTGTAGTATCTAAAATTATAAACATGAATAAAATGTTGGATGGACCATTTTGTTTGGCTATTTAGAATGAAGACGAAGCTGAAGATACCTCAGGTGTTATTCCATCAAACTGGTTAGTTACTGGAAGCCAGGTTAAACATAAAATGGTAACTATTATATCTATTTTATTTTTAAAACATTTTCTTTATGTTTTTAAATTTTAATACAGGAGCATACGAGTTTTGCAATGACTTATGCAATACACAAGTTGGGTGGTTTTCCATAGATAACGAAAGTGTCTCACCAATAAAGAATAAAATAATAAAAAAAAAGTAATAGTTATTTTTTATTAAGTTATGATAATCTTTTCGAGAATCAAGATTAATTTTTTATTCTCGGTTAAAGGAACCTGACTCGGTTCCTTTAACCGAGTCAGGTTTGTTTAATGAGTATTTGAGTATTTGTGCTTTGTTATTTTTTCTTGTGAGTTATTTACTGATTAATAATAATTTTTTTGTTATTATTACACAGTATTAGAATAATTTATAATAATCTTAAAACTATGATTTTTATATTTGCAGAATTTCAAGCTAAAGTAATGAAATACTTGATCAAACAAGATTAAAGACTTGAAAATATTGAGAAAGTTCTCCTAAATTTAAAATCATCCTCAGTTGGAGTAGATAAAGAAGTATCCCAAATAAGCAATTTGAAAGATTTACATAATTTAGAGGAAAGAATTGCAAATGAAGAAGAATTTAATAAACTGGTAAAATAATATTTATTATTTGATTTATGACATTTATATATGTCGTTCATGGCCGTCGACACGGCTTTTAAGTGGGAGGTGGGCAACTCCCTAATTTAAAAAAAAAATCCTACAATTCTAAAAAAAACTCCAACATTTCTAAAAAACATATTCTACATTTCTAAAAAAAAAGTCCTCGAAAAAAAAAGTTCCCCTCCCTCCCCTGGTGTCGACGGCCATGTAGTTTTTTCTCTCAAGACGATTCTTTCAGTCTGATTTCCATTCTGTTGATTCTTAAGGAAACAAAAAAAATTTTGACTCGAATCGATTCCGTTGATTCCTAAAGAAAAAAAAGAATCGATTTCTGATTCTTTTGAAAATTGGCTCAGTATGATGCCAACCATTCCATTCCAAGTGTGTGCATAAAAGCAGAATCAAAAACACAAAAAAGAGTTTGAGAATCGGAATCAAGATCCTTCAATTTTAGAATCTCTAGTTTATTTATCACTAATCTTGTATTAGTTGTAAAATGTTTTACATTTATTCAAAAGTTTTTTTGAACGTTAGAAATACACTCAAAAAATATAAAGCACTTGTTACGTTGACAAAATCATACTAATTCAAAATTGTAGAATTCGGCTAGTTTATAAATCACCTTAGCTGCACCTTGGAGTAATTAAGTTTATTAATTTCCTTAATTACACTTAGAAATAACTAAAACTGGTTTCAGTCTAAAAATAGTTTTAAAATTATAGTTTTAAAACTAACATATCTTGAGAAAATTTTCTGTACTTTACTAATATTTTCTGAACTTTAATGTATAATATTAACCTATTGATATATAAAAAAAACTATTATTTGATTTTATTCCATTTTCTAATTTTATCAGGTCTTATCTCTGTCTTCTGCTGGGGGTAAAGATGTTAAAGATGTTCTCAAGAACATTATGGAAAGGTTTGTATTGTCTTACAGCTTTTGAATTTCTTGTGTTGTTTTTAGTCCTCAATAGTCTTTATAGTGAAAAGTGTGTAGATAAAAATATTAGATAAAATAGTTTTTAAGCGTTAATTAACGCTTAAGCTTAAGCTTGTTCTTTATGCTATTCAACATTTAAGTGGAGGTTTCTCAACACTGCTACTGCCTTTTCTTTATATAAAATGTTGATAATAAAAATAACTTTTTTTAGTGTCGCTACGTACGATGTGTTTGCCAAGTTCAATTTTCGAGGAACTAATCGCCTCAAAAATAATAAAGAGTCAAGACCTAAGAAAAGCTTTTAAATGTCTTACTGTATGCAAAGCTGTGTGATGTAAGTTTTATAAATTTAGTTTTTGAAAGACTTTCTTGCTAACTTTTTCTAACTGCAAAATTCTAAAATGTTTATATATATAAAATATTACTTGATCTAAGAATAATAGCTATAAATTTTTTGTTGTTGTTTTATGCAAATAATTGTTCCAACTATTATCGAATTTGGTATTAGTTGGAATAATTAATTGCAAAATTATTTGCAAACATTTAATTTTTATATAAATTTTTTTACTTTAGGTGCAGCAATGAAGGATAAAAAATTTAACAAAGAAGACGTATTAAACTGCGTAAAAGATATTTTGCAATACGCTCCAGACAAGGCCACAGGCGGAAGACGGTCTTCAACATAATATTTTTTCAATTGTTAAAATGTAAAAAGCAAATGAGAGGTTAACTTGTAAATCTTGTTTTATATTTCAATACCATAATTATATATTTATTTGGAAATTTTGTCATTCTTTTTTTTTTTTTTTGCAATATAATTTTACTTCCTTCTAAAGCTTAAAACTTAAAATATAAAATATTTAATTAAACGTTTTCCTAAAATCCCTTGGTTTACGTCAACTTAACATCGGATTATAATGTTAGTCTTACTTTCCATTACTAACATCGATGCGACATCGAACTTTTACATCGCTATTACATCGCAATGCGACGTCAATACTACATCGGCTAGTAACATCGTCTTAACATCAAAAATTGACATCGCCATTACATCGCATATTAACGTCCAACTTTCCAACGATCCAATTTTCCATTTCCAACGTTAATCCGACGTTGCGTTTGACGTCGCTTTAACGTTAATCCAACATTGCCGTGCCCACTGGGAAGAATGAATAACCCTGTAATCTCTTTTTTATTTAAGTTGTAAATTATTCCCCAGTGGGGACACGACGTTATTTCGACGTTGATTTACAGTTGATTTTTAGTCGCGACGTCGTATAACCAAAAATCAACGTTGTATCAACGTTGAAAAATTTGTTTAAAACTATCAAATAAAATCGACGTTGATTCCACGTTAATTCAACGTCTATATTACGAGTTCGATCGTTCGTAATTGCAATATGATAACTAAAATACGCATGCGTGACTTAAAATTTTTTTATCATTTTAACAAATAACAAGTAAAGACTTAACAAGTTACTTATTAGCGCAATAAAAGCAAGTAAAGTCACACATGCTAATAAATTAGGTCATCTGTTTCCTTTTTATAAGGTTTTGAATTTGACAATTTAACAATAATACATGGCTTAACTTGTGATGCAGTTAGTTAGGTAAATATTAAATGGATATTTCTTTATGACCGTATTATTTCATGAGTGTGGATTACAAGTAGAGACTACTTGATATATTATATAAATATAAAATATATATTATATATGTTTTTCTTATTTATATAATGCATATATATATATATATATATATATATATATATATATATATATATATATATATATATATATATATATATATATATATATATATATATATATATATAGTATATATACTTATATTATATATACTTATATTATATATGTGTATACACATATATAGTATATGTATATATTATATAAGCATACTATATATATGTATATATGTATATATATATATATATATATATATATATATATATATATATATATATATATATATATATATAATATATGTTTATTATATTATATATGCATACTATATATATGTATATATATATATATATATATATATATATATATATATTATATGCATATTATATATATGTATAAATATATATATATATATATATATATATATATATATATATATATATATATATATATTATATTTATATATATATATATATATATATATATATATATATATATATATATATATATATATATATATATATATATATATATATATATATATATACATATTTATAATATCCATATATAATATATACATACACTATATATGTATATAAACATACATAATATAAATATATATAACGGATGATGTTTTACAAAATAATGATTTATCAAGCTTTTTTACCAATCCATGTGATTTTAAAGAGTTTAAATATTTTTTATACTAAAAAAATTTTATTAAATTTTTAAAGATTTTTCTTGTAAAGTTGTATAAAAAAGAATTTGTGAATGCTTCTTTAGTCCATAATATTGGTAGAAAGATCAACATAAAAATTTAGCAAATTTTAGCAACTGTATAATGTATCATAACGTACAGTTTATAGTTGTATTTTTCTGTTAGCTATTTTACATGAACAAATTTTTATTATATAAGTATTTTTTCTATTATAATTTCTACTATACTTTTCCAGTTGAAAAAGTATAGTAGGGCATGCAAAATGTTCATTCAAGCTGTTTGGATAGAAAATACAGAGAAATAAAGAGAGAAAATTCGATTGATAATTTTTTGTACTGCTTGTCATTTTTAAATGTAATAAATTGTTTCAATGAAATGCATAAACCGCATCTAACTAATACAGATTTAAGCTGCTCAAAATTTAATGTCATGGAGATAATGTAATTTTTTTTTAATATAAACCTTAAGTCATTACTTTTTTTCCTTGTTTTTTTAACATGCTTTCATTTTGTATATGTTGTTTTCAGTGTTTAGATATATTCTTTATTATATATTCTTTATTATATAATGTATTTAAAACATTTTTAAATTGAATGAATATTCTTAGATCATGAGTTATGTAATAAATTTGAATTTGCCTCTATAAGTGATACTCAGATAGAATCAGGTTCAGAAAACAGTAGCTATTTTAAAAGATACTTAATTCAAGTATTATTAGTTATATTTTGATATTAATTATTATAGGAGCCACTACAATGCTTATGCAAGAGAAAACATAATAACCAACAGAATAGTAAGCAAATACCTACTCCTGTAACGCAAAAAAAGAAACAGAAAACATTTTTTATGCATACTCCACATACTGTAGCTCAAGGTATTAATTGTCTGTCTGCAAGTTGATTTAGGAAGAAAAGATTCTGAACATTTTTTTCTATGCTTCAGTGATTTACACATTTCTTTGGTTGCTAAATTAATACATTTTATTTAATTTATGAATAATGTTTTATTTTATAAATTTTTTGTTCTTGTGTTTCAACACTTTTAGAAATTAATTAATGTTTGGTTCTTTTGTCTTTCTGATATATCTTTATTGTCAGAAAGAGATGTTAGTAAAAACTCTTTCCAGTAATTAAAGTAATATCATGACAAATAGTTCTGAAATTCTTATGGATAACAGTTTAAATGATTCTTGGGTGAGGTCAGAACTGATAGGTTGTTTCAAACCATGACTTTTTGCAGTTTTTTTAATTGTTTTTTGATTAAGTATTTATTAATAACTTAGCCTAAGTTAATCTACTTGTAACTTTTTATAAATGTACTATAAAAATAATGTGGTGTAATTATTTTCTTAAACCTTTAGGTTAACAAACTTTCTAAAATTGGAGGTAAAACCATTAAGACAAATACAAATACATGTGATGCAAAGGTTTGTTAAAAGTAGTTTTAAATAAAAAATCTTTTGAATCTTTTTTATAGTTTGTTTTAAACTTGTGTTAAAAATCTGTGTAGCATATATTTTTAAAAGTTTGACGAATTCTAATCAGACATAAAATGAATCTTTTTTTTTTATGTCTGATTATAATTTTTTTTGTAACTGTTTTCTCTTACTTTTGTATTTCCTTGAGCTAAAGAACAACCTTAAAGTACAAAGGTTGATTTGTAACGCATACTTAACCTTTTTTTTTACTCTATATATACATACATATATATGTACATAAATAAACATACATATATATGTATGTATATATACATACATGTGCTTATATGAATATATTATATATATATATATATATATATATATATATATATATATATATATATATATATATATATATATATATATATATATATATATATATATATATATATATATAAATATATATATATATATATATATATATGTATATATATATATATGTATATATATATATATATATATATTTATATATATATATATTTATATATATATATATATTTATATATATATATATATATATATATATGTATTTATATATATATATATTTATATATATATATATTATTTATATATATTTATATATATATATATATATATATATATATATATATATATATATATATATATATATATATATATATATATATATATATATATATATATATATATATATATATATATATATATATTAATAGTGCAATTTAAAGTTTTTTCTTTTATTTATAAAGTTGTACTTGATAAAAACAAATAAATAAAGATGAACATTTTGAATATTTATTGATTATTATGATAAATTATATAAAATACAGTCGTGTGACAATTTATTATGGCCACCCACAATTTTTCAAAATTATCAAGTTTCAAAGTCTATTATTTTAGTATTTTTTTGTGATTTATGTACTCAAAGTAACTTTTATTTAAGAAATGGGTATTTTTTTGACAAATAAAAACATTTAACATATTGTTTATTATTTTATTATTAAAATATTATTAAATAAATTTTATTATTCAAATTAAATAAATTTTATTATTCAATTATTACTGCAAATATATTCAAGATCAATATTTGGTGATTCCTCCTTTGCCTCTTTAATTGCAGGAACCCTTTTTGACATACTTTTAATGCATTTTTGAGCCATTTCCTTCAATTCTTTATTATAGTTCCAATGTTGAATAATTCTTTCTATTAAATACACTTTATTTGTAATAATTTTTTCAGATATTTGCTTCTTTAGGAGCGCCCAAACATTTTCTATAGGATTTAGGTCAGAAGAGTTTCCTGGCCAATCAAGTAATGGAATATTTTGCTCTGATAGATATTTTTTAACTGATTTAGCTGTGCGACATGGTCATGCCCTGTCCTGCATGAAGGCTTTTTTTTCACCTGGACTAAACTATTCTGCCAATTGTGACAACAATCTTTGTTCCAGCATTTTTATATTGTAACTGTAACATTTTTCATTCTGCAATATAGAACCTTCCTATTTCTTTTACACATTTCATTGATCAGATCATCACAGAGGTGGGGTGTTTAACAGTTTGCATGATGCAGTCCAATAAGTATTTTTTCCCTTTTTTTCTTTTTAAAACTTAAAAGTACTCTCGCCGCTAAAGCATACCTTCAAATATTATACAAAGATTGTTAAGTGAATATTGAATGAATATTTAAAGTTTGGTGTAAGAAAGTGGATATTTTAAATTCATCTAAGTTTATTTTATTAATTACCAATCATATGTTAAATTCCTATATTTTTTTGTCCACTCAAGCATTTTTTGTACAATTTTTGGTATCAGTTTAGGCTTCTTAGCTGGACGTCGTGAAATGTAACCAAGATTGTGTAGGCAATGTTGGACCGTT